CGTGTTAAAATTGTTAGTTATTTGGTGATAGGAACTGGCCAGGGACACAGCTAGGCTTCCCCCAAACACATGGATGTCTGGCAACTGTTTTGTGAGCTGCTTGAAGAACTTTTCCATTCCTGTAATGATCTAATTCCTTCGAAACACATTCTCTAGGGAAAGCAGTGGTGAGATTGGGAGCATGGAATTTGTGTTAGCCAGTGTTCTCATCCCTCATTTTGCAGGCCTCTGCCTAGTGGTTGTCAACCCTGTCTTTTGGAATCTCTTGGGAGAGCTTTGAAAAGAATGCTAGTAAACAGAACCCTAAACCCTGATCTTTTGATTAGGTTGGGCTGGAGTGGAACCTGTGTATCAGTGTTATTTTAAGAGCCTTTGAGCTACCTGCTCAAAAATCCTCACTTATTGAATCATCTGAACATCACAGAGTTGAGACCACTGCCTAGAACTAGAATAAGCAGACTCAGCAAAGGAATAGCCTGTTTGATGATGACTTTTGTCCTCCATTTATGGTACATTATATTCTAAGATATTCTCTTGAATAATTAGGAAAATTATGATAGTTATTTATAAAAAAAACCATACAAACATGATGCAGCATCTGGTGCCCTTTATAGTTAGTTATAAGATTAATTTGTGTTGGTCTTTGTTGTTACTCATGTTGACGTCCATTTTCTCTTATAGGTAGGTGCTGTGTTAGCATTCCCATCCTTGTATTGGGATGACACTGTTGATCTACAGCCTTCATCAATTAGTTCTTCTTATAACCACCTTTATCTCTTTCATTTGATCACAATGGCACACATACTTCAGATACTTCTTACCATAGACACAGGTAACTACATTGCTATCTTACTGACTGACAAATTCCCATTATTTAACAATAAGTAACATTTGCCCATGGTTTATTGGCAAAATTAATTGTACTGTGGTTAATCATGTATTGCTAAGTTCTGTATTTTGTCTGATGTTGAAGGATCATTCACTTGTTCTTTATGGATGCTCTTTATATATCATTACAAATTATTATGCAATAATAAATATTTATTAAATATCCATGTTTAGGTAGGCTGTGGTTTTGCTCTTTTTGTTTCTCTGGGTAAGATACTGATAAAGTTTACATAATAGTTTTAATATCAGAATCAACTATTTAGATTGAGAACAAGGGAAAAATCTTCCCTTGAAAAGACATTATTTATTATCCTGGAACCATGAAATTGAGGTTTAATTTGTAAATGGAATAGCCAGTTTATAGATTTATCTTTCAGAATTCTTTTTCAGGCCTTCCCCTTGCTCAGATTCAAGAAGACAGTGAAGAGGCTTATTCTGCATCTTCTTTTATGGCAGAAGTTTCTCAATATACAAGTGGGTGAGTAGCAGCAGTCCATTAGTATAATCTACCTTAGTATTTTTTTTTTTCTTTATTGACTTCAGAGAAGAAGGGAGAAGGAGAGAGAGATAGAAACATCAGTGATGAGAGAGAATCATTGATCGGCTGCCTCCTGCACCCCCCCTACTGGTGATTGAGCCTGCAACCCAGGCATGTGCCCTTTGCCCGAATCGAACCTGGGACCCTTCAGTCCACAGGCTGATGCTCTATCCACTGAGCCAAGCTGGCTAGGGCTATCTTAGTATTGTTTTAATAATTCCACGTCTTTGCCCTAACTAGTTTGGCTCAGTGGGTAAAGCGTCGGCCTGCAGACTGAAAGGTCCCAGGTTCAATTCCGGTCAAGGGCATGTACCTTGGTTGCAGGCACATCCCCAATAGGGGATGTGCAGGAGGCAGCTGGTCGATGTTTCTCTCTCATCGATGTTTCTAACTCTCTATCCCTCTCCTTTCCTCTCTGTAAAAAATCAATAAAATATATCTTTAAAAAAATAATAATAATTCCACGTCTTTGTTCAGCTGTTTGACAGTATAACTTTTGAATTATTTTAATTTTAAAAAATGGAACAAAGGGCTTTTGGAATAATAGCTAGCCATTTAATAGTATTTGTTTCTCAGACTGAAAGAAGTTTTGGCACATCTTTAACTCTTGTAAATATTATGGGAATATAGGGAAAGTTTGATAGAATTTTTAAATGGCAGCAGTTAAATAAATGTAGAAAAATAAAAAATAGGTTGGTAAGTGTTCAATAACCACAGAAAAATTTAACAGAAAGTACGGTGTTCCCCATATATTCCCTATAACAATTTCTCCTATTATTAACATCTTCCTTTAGTGTGGTAAATTTGATAACCAATATTAATACACTAGAGGCCCAGTGCACAAAATTTGTACACGGGTGCGGTCCCTGGGCCTGGCTAGTAATTGAAGTGCGAGCGTCTGGTGTGGAAGGGCAGGTCCCAGCTGACCTCTGGGCCCTGGGCAGTACCTGGGCCTCTGGGCTCCTGTCCCCCTGCCCTCCCTCCGCCTGAGTCATGGGAGCCAGGTGGCAACCCCACCCCCTGCCACCTCTGGTCCCCTTCAGCGAGGCAATGGGTGGGGTGATCGGGCCCTGCTCGCACCTGCCTTGGCCTGGCGCCACCTGCTCACCTGCTCCACCATCCTGCCACGGTCCCAGTGTCATCGGAGCTGACAGCACTTCTACTGCTGCCCACTGCCAGTGCTGCGTCGCCGATGCCCACCATATTCTGTGCTGCCCCCTGGTGGTCAGCACACATCATAGCAAGCAGTCAAACTCTGGGTCGAGGGGACAATTTGCATATTAGGCTTTTATTATATAGGATTGTTATTAACTAAAGTCCATAGTTTACATTATATTCACTCTTTGTGTCTTACCATTACAGTATCATATAGGATAGTTTACTATTCTACAAATCATCAGTTAATTTTAATACAGAAATCAGGAAATTATTAATTTTGTTTTAGCTCACCTTGCTACTTGGGCTAGTGATAAATGTATCTGCTCTATATTTCATTATAAGGATTAGGAAAAAGAAGAAAGTAGTTCTTTGTCTTAAAAATATACATGGTAAAAGATGTAGGATTTGTAATTTCCTTTTTTTTAATTTTAATTCTATTAAATTTATTGGAGTGACATTCATTGGTTAATAGGGTCATATAGGTTTCAAGTATACATTTCTTTGATATATGATCTGTATATTGCATTGTGTGCCCATCTTCCAAAGTCCAATCATATTCCTTCACCATATATTTGGCCCACTTTATCCTTTACTACCCTCCCACCTCCTTCCCTCTGGTAACCACCATAGCATTGTCTGTCTGTGTCTATGAGTTTCAGTTTTATATCCCATATATGAGTGAAATCTTATAGTTCTTAGTCTTTTCTATTGACTTATTTCACTTAGCATAATATTCTCAAGTTCCATGCATGTTGTCACAAATGGCAGTATTTCATCTTTTCCTATGGCTAAGTAACATTTCATAGTATATATGTACCATATCTTCTTTATCCAATCCTCTAAAACAAGGGTGCTTTGGTTGTCCCCATTTCTTGGCCACCATGAATAATGCTGCAATGAAGATAGGGGTGCATAAATCTTTGCAAATAAGTTATTTTGAGGTTTTTTTAGATAGATACTAAGAAAAGGGATTGCTGTGTCATATGGTAACTCTATTTTTAATTTTTTAAGCAATTTCCATACTGATTTCCATAGTACTAGTACTAGTTTACATTCCCACCAGCAGTGAATGAGGGTTCCTTTTTCTCCACAACTTCTCCAACACTTGTTATTACAAGTCTTATTGATAATGGCCATTCTAACAGGTGTGAGGTAGTATCTCATTGTAGTTTTGATTTGCATTTCGCTAATAGCTAGTGAAGTTGAACATCTTTTCATCTATCTGATGGCCAGTTATAAGTCTTCTTGGGAGAGGTATCTGTTCAGGTCCTCTGCTCATTTTTTAATTGAATTTTTTGTTTAGTGTGGAGATGTATGAGTTTTTTATATGTTTTTATTAACCCATTATCAGAACTGTTGTTTGCAAATACCATCTTCCATTCAGTTGGTTGCCTTTTTTTGTTGTTGTTGCCAGTTTCTTTTGCTGTGCAGAAGCTTTTTAGTTTGATATAGTCCCATTCATTTATTTTTGCCTTTACTTCCCTTGCTTTTGGGGTCAAATTCATAAAATGTTCTCTCTGACCCAGGTCAATAAGTTTAGTACGTACCTATGTTTTCTTCAATGTACTTTATATTTCAGATCTTATATTTAGGTCTTTATAATTAATTAATTTTGAATAAATTTTTGTACAAGGGGACAAATAGTTATCTAGTTTCATTTTTTTGCATGTGGCTTTACAATTCTCCCAGCACCATTTATTGAAGAGGCTTTTTTCTCCATTGTGTGTTTTTAGCTCCTTTGTTAAAAAGTATTTGCCTATCCCCTAGCTGGTTTGGGTCAGTGGATAGAGCATTGGCCTGCAGACTAAAGGGTCCCAGGTTCAATTCCAGTCAAGGGCATGTACTTGGTTGCAGGTGCCTGGCCCTGGTCCAGGGCATGCCGGAGGCAACCAATTAATGTTTCTCTCTGACATCAGTTTTTCTCTCTGTCTCTCTTTCTCCTGTCCACTTTCTCTAAAAATCAAAAGGAAAAATATCCTCAGGTGAGAATTAAAGAAAAAAAGTATTTTCCCATATACTTGCAGTTTTATTTCTGGGCTCTCAATTTCTAAGTAATATGTTGTTTAATCTCCACAAATTTATAGGCTTCTTTACTTCCTTTTTGCAATTGATTTCTAATTTTAAAGTATTGTGGTCTGAGAATATGCTTGGTATAATTTCAATCATCTTGAATTTACTGAGCCTAGTTTTGTGGCCCAACATATGGTCCATCCTTGATAATGTTCCATGTGCACTAGAGAAGAATGTTATTATCTGATGCCCTTGGATACAAGACTATGTAAATGTCAATTATGTCCATTTGATCTAATTTAAGAACATTTCTTTGTCGATTTTCTGTTTGGGTGATCTGTCTAGAGCTGTCAATGAAGTATTAAGTTCCCTAGCTTTGTGGTTTGGTCTATTTCTCCCTTTAATTCTGTGAGTTGTTGCTTTATATATTTTAGTGCTCCCTCATTGGGTACATACATATTAAGAACTGTTGCCCAGAAAAAAAACCAAGATGGCGGCATAGGTAAACACCGGAGATTGCTGCCTCGCACAACCCCTTCAAAAATACAACTAAAAACGGAACGGACATCATCCAGAACCACAGGAAGGCTGGCTGAGTGGAAATTCTACAACTAGAAGGAAAGAGAAAAGCATACCAAGACTCAGAGAAGGGGCGGTGCGGAAGTAAACTACAAAGGTGCAGAGGTGCATGTGCGGAGAGGTGGCGGCTGAGGTCATGATTGTCTTTTTCAATCAGGATGAAGTCTTAGGCTCTGAGCTCCAGTTCCAGGCGAGTCTCTGGGGACCCAGACTCATACGGGAGAAACGGGACTGTCTGGCATCAATCGAAACCCGAGGGCAGCTTTCTCTCGGAGGCACACACAATGATTGCCGGGGCCTCTGAGGACAGGACTGAGAGCAGCCATAGTGCTCGCTCTGCTGGCCCAGTTGATCCCCTGGGGCTCCACCCCGCCCAACCCGTGCACAGAGGCTTTTGCATATGAAAGGCCCGGACCTTTGTAATCTGAAAATTACTTAAAAAACTGCAGCTGCCCAAGGCTCCAGGGCAACTTGCATTGCTTTACAGCTGGCTTCTGCAGGGTAGCCTCAGGCAGAGGATAGATTAGCACCTCCTTAGATCCAAGAGCCAGTGTACCCAGTGGTCAGAGAGCGACCA